AGGGGACCAAATATTTAATAATGGACTCTTCAATCTAGCAGAGAAAGCTTTAACACTATGCGATAGCTGGAAGCGGACGCTGGACAAATTCAGACTGGAAATAAGGCATAGATTTTTTAAATAGTGAGAGTAATTAACCATTACCAAGGGTCGTGGTGGATTCGGCATCACTGGCAATTTTAAAATCAAGATTGGATGTTTTTGTAAAAGATCGGCTCTGAGAATTATTGTGGGGAAGTTCTCTGGCCTGTACTCTAGAGGGAGTCAGACAAGGTGATCACAACAGTCCCTTTGGGCCTTAAAATCTAAGGTGCTGGCGGGATGAGTTCTGGATCTACCACCAGGGTGTACCTTCCAGAACCCTGTGTGTAGCTCAGCAAAAGGGCAGGATGTGCACCCACACACAGGGTACATGCAAAGAGAAACGTGCACACAGACATGCCAAAACTGACACACGCAGCCATGTTTCAGGGTAGTGACAAGTGATTCCCACACTTCTGCTGCTGAGACGGTTTCAAACACCTCATCTGTATGGACAAGGGATTGGGGTCATGCCCTCTGAAGGGGAAACAGGGGGAAATACTTTATCTGTGTTAGGATGGGCTTGCCCTTCTCAGGACCAAAGAAGACGCATGCATGGAAGAAGGGTATTATGGGAAGGAGAATTATATTCTCCAACTTCCTGAAATAAACCATTCTCAGTCTGAAACATGTTTACTGGAACCAGGACCAAATCCTGTCTATGGCTGATATCTGCATTATACTTTCAGCCAAACGCCAATGTCCTGACTTCCAGAGCTTGTAATAACGTAAGTACCTGTCCCCAAACTTGACGGAAGTCTCTTAGGGAGCTGGGCTCAGAAACAAAGTACTCTGAAGTTGGAGAATTGCCAGGATGTCCAGTACCAGCACAAATAGCCGCAATGGGAGATTAATTAGGGCCTGAGCATTCACAGCTCCCATTAACTTCGTCTAGGACAGAGCCCTCAGCACCTCTGACAATCAAGCTAGAAGGTTCTAATATTTGGATATAAAGGCTCCTCCTAAGCATATCTAATCCTGTCTCTCTTGCCTCTGGTCCGAAGAAACCTCTTTAAATAACAATGCGTGAAACAAAGGCCGCAGTTAATAGAAACAATCACTAGTCTCCAGGCTAATTGTGTTTCATGAAGCATGTTGAGAAACGACCACCTCACCCCTCAGAGACCTATCATTTATCACATCACACAGTAACTGGACATCACATCTCCAAATGAGCATCTTCCCCAGTTCTCAAGTCATCTGATAGCAAGTTCTGATCAAACCTCAGTCAGGAGGTTTAGATGTTTTGGGGGGACATTAAAGGAATGTGTTGGTCCATATATTTTCATGCACCACGAACATGTGGTTACATCGATTCTCAGAGCTAAGCGGGGCCAGGCTGGGTCAGTACTTGGATGAGAGATCTCTGGCAACAAATGCAGATGCTATAGGAAATAGCACTGGTGATCCCGTAAGGTGGGTGCGCTTTGCTTGGACTTGTTAGGGAACTAGTGTCCCAGCATGGTGTTAGGGGACACTGTGCTCTGACCACATGTCATCATGAAAGATCCCCTGGAGGTTTTCACCAGAGAAGGGATTCCAGTGCCAGTGTCCTGGCTACTGTAGGGTAATTGCATCCCGTCCAGTTACATTTCCCAGCTGCTCCCGCTGCTTACGGTAATCTCTCCCACTTTCCGCTTTAGAGCACTTTTGGAGTGTTTCTCAGGCTATTCTGTTGCCACATCCCACTCCAGAGCTGGCGGCATTTCAGCTGAGGATGATGGCAAGTTACCCCTGTATGCATAGAATTCATACCTTTGTAAAGCCCCTGGTGCTTGCAAAAGGAACAATAATCAATCAGCAATCATGACTTTATAAAAGATAGCTCAAGAGCCCATTGTAACACACACTGAAACTTCCTGTTCAGATCCCACTCGACCCTCTACAATTGACCTGTGCAGTTTAAAAGAGAACAGGTCAGATCCTGAGCTGGTCTACTTCCAGTTTATGCCAGCAGAGGCTCTGTCTAAAGAGGTTTCCCTGTAAAGGGAAAAGCCCAGTGTTAATTCTTCCTTGTTTTCCCCAACCTGTTTCCCCATCTGGTCTGGTCTCTGTTGGAGGAGCTAGAGAGTTTTGGTCGAGCAATGTTGCTTCTCGCTACATCACAACAATGGGCTGGCAGTGATGCCCAGTCCCGCGTAGTGTTGGATCAGCCAGTAGCTTTGATGGCAAAGTGAGGATGGAATTGGCAAAGCTACTCAGGGCTCTCTGCATTGCCAGAGAGAGACTGGACCCGGCGCAGTAACACAGCACTGGATCCACATTGACCATGGGAAAGGCAGTGCTGCTCCAAAGCTCCTCAGAGCTGGATCAGCCAGGGCCACAACAAGGGAAACTGGAGTAAGATGTGTCAGGTGGCAGCCCCTCTTCTGGCTCCTCCAGAACCTTATATTCAGGTTCTGGCTGCACTTTTCCCTCCATTCCCTGATCTACGCACAAAGTCACGGGACTGGGATCTCCTTGTCAACCTCCTCCTGGCGCTGGCCAAGATGGCCTCCATCGCTGCAGGAGGAGGAAGCTGGGCTGGGAGCGGGGGTGTGGTGTGCTCTGCAACTGTGGGACCTATTTCCATTCCCTCATTCAATCACACCTCCGGGCAGCGTTCCTTTGGCAGTGTCCACTGACTGCCTCGTGGCTTTGAGGAGCAGTGGGTGCTATCCGAGGTTGTCCCCATCTGGTTCCTTGACTTTCAACCATTGACCTCGCTCCCGTTCCTGTTTTTCCCTTCGTTGTCCCACACACTCCCTTGTAGTGTGAGCATAGCGGCTACTCTCCCATTAGTTTTGGGGCCTTGACCCTCCTGCCCCAGGTCTGCGAATAGTACAAGGGGAACTGGAACGGGTTATTTATTCTTGCCATAAGAGAACACTGAAACTAGACTCTTGCCATTGGATTAGCCATTCAGACCGCAAGAGAGACTGGCACTGGTGGAGTGGCTCACGGCTCCTCAGCCCTGGGCACTGTTTAGTGCTGGCTCACCCAGTCAGCCAACGCTCTTGGCTCACACCAAGGAATGAATGGAGATCCCTACAGCTTGAGCTACACTGCCCGGGTCCATTGCTGGGGCCACAAGAGACTCATCTCCTCCTTAGACTGGACACAGAAGGGAATGTGTAATACACACTGACCCTGCCTACTGGGTTAGAACGAGCAGAGGACCTAGACACTGGATTTAGATGTTACCAATACGGCAGCATTAATCCAGCTCTCAGGCTGGATCATGTTACACCATCAAAGAGAGAGAGAAAGGGGGGGACTAGGCCATGATGCCTCAGGGGCAGATTTAAAGAACAAAGCCACCGTTTAGCGCTTCTGAGCTCTAAACGCAGCAAGAGAGGCCAGCAGATCGCTTTATGCGGCTCATTAAATAGGAAAGAGAAAAATCCTGATTTGATTTATTTTCCAAGTTTTCAGTTCAGCTCTTTGCAGAATTTGTTTATGAAACAACAACATACAAAGAGATCATCTGGTGGATGGGAGGAGCTAGGACCCAGTGCGAAACCATCAGACCTGCATGAACCCACTTGGGTCAATCCCTTTGGGCTACTCAGTCAGAACTCTCAGTAACTCCATTGGCCGGATCCTTGGCTGGTGTAAATTAGGGTAACTGGAGCTAGTTGGAAAAGGTCAGTTGTTTTTTGCTGGAAATTAAAAAAAAAAGTTTCAAAATTTCTCTTGAACATTTTTTGTTTTATCATTGAAAAATTGAAATTGCCCAACATTTCAGCTTTCAGAAACAATTTTCGGTAACGATGTAAGGATTTTGAAACCCATAAACTCAAAATGCTTATTGAAAACCAAATATTTTCACCAAAAATGTTCCAATTTTGATTTCTGTTTTTTTTCAATTGCAAAACCTGAACATTTTGATCAAACCCTGCCCTAGCATCACTTTTGCGCTCGAAAACATTTTGACCAGCTCTAGCTGGAACTCCATGGACTTCAGTGGAGTTTCTCCGGTTTACACCAGCTGAGGACCTAGCTAAGTGAGTGGCATCAGAAGTGGACAAACAAGATAGGGGCGGAGCTGGTGGGTAAGGAAGCTGGCACAAATATCAGCAGCTACAAAGAGAAGAGAAGATACTGGTGGCAAGGTAGTTTCCCAGGCAGATAGTCTAGCTGGATGGGAGGCAGATAGATACAGCAGACCTGATTCTCTGTGCAAAGCGAGCGTAAAGCTCTATTACACTGAACTGGTAGCTTATTACACACACTTTGCACAGGTGTAAATGAGTAGACAAGGTGCAGGGAAGAGCCAGTGGTTCTAGGTGATGCTGTGGCTAGCGAAGCAGCGAGGTGTGGATGGGGAAGAAGGACGCCAAGAGTACAGGTGAGGATGTACTGGTAAGAGAAGCCCAAAAGGGATTCCAGTTAGCACAGAAAGACAAGGGTAGAGGGAGATGGAGTAGACGGGAAGATGGTCTTCTGGGGATAGATGTGAAAGAGGGAAAAGGTCACATAGGACAATGGAAACGGATCACCCAGTGCACTGGACAAGCCCTTCGTAAGAACAGCACATGCCTGTGGAGCGGGGTGAAGGGATGAGCCCGAGGAAACCAAAGCTCAGGGCAAGGTGGCACTTTATGGGCAACCTCCGCTCTGGCATTCACTTCTAAACAGCCTCTCTCATGCAGTGGTGGGGGTGTTTCACCCCAGAGGTGCAGCGTGGGTGTACGCCTAGCGTCACTCAGGGACAGCGCGGGCAGGAGAAGGGCAGGGAGTACAGTATCCTGAGAAAAGAAGCATTTTGCTTTTGAAGGGGGTTATTGGGGGGGGCTAATGGAGAAGTGACTGGGAAATGCCCTTACCCTCCACCCCCCGGGTTGGAAAGCAGCTTTACGCATCCATGCTCGTCCCTCTGTCCTCCATCTCCCCGCCCCGTTCTGGCACTCCATCCACCAGATGCCTCTGGCTCTCACCTGTACCTTTCCGGATGCTGCTGTCAGCCGCGCAGGGGAAATCGCCGGCATTCAGCAGAAAGCAGGTGGCCGCTTTCTTGGTTTTGTCCCTGGTGCTGGAGCGCCTCATCGGCCGTTTCTCCTCATGCGAGGACGAGAGGGGCTGCTCCTCGTCTGACAGCACAGTGTTGGCATCGCCGTTCTGCTTGGAGTCTTCGGGGCAGGATGGGAAGGGGAAAGGTATGAAAAATATCAATTTTCCAGAGAAACTGACACGCCTAAACACTTGTCTGCTCACTCCTGCTGCTGGCAACAGGGAGGCCATGTGGCTGACTGCCCGCTAGCTGCAACGCGGGAAATGGTAGGGCAACCTTCCCCCTTATGTGGCCCAAGTTGATGCGAGTGGAACTGAAACAGCAATGAGGTTTGCTGGCTCATTCCCCAGATAATTTAATGCTGCCCTTCCATAACTCAGAAATAACTAGAGGGGCTCTGTTCAAACCTTCCAAAAAATAAAAATCCGCCATGAGGGAAAGACAGAGGCCACATTCCAGCAGGTGTACACTGGAGAAGCTCTACTGATTTCACTGGACCTATGTCAAGTTTACCCGAGCTGAAGATCTGGTCTAGTAACATCAGTGGAGTTGGGCCAGTTTATACCAGCTCAGTACCTGGTTCTCTGGGCTCAATCCTCAGATCAATCCTGAGGCGGCTCTAAATTATGACAAATAGCCACCTGCAGGGGGATTGGGAAGCTACCCCCCAGCTCTTTTACAACTGCCCCAAGCTGCACCCAATGGATTTTGGCTGAGAGCTGGGTCCTGCGGATGGAAATTTTCAGTTTAGAAGGGAAATGTTCCATGAGTGTGGACAAACAAGGGGTTTGAAAGGAAATTCCTGCAACTTTAATGGAGGTGCTCAGGTCCTGTGCTGATGAGTATAAAACACAGGCTTGCAGCAGGCCCCACTACGCACCCATGAGAGAATGTGAGCAGGGCCAGATCTTCAGTTGGTGTAATTCAGTGTAGCCCTTCAGTGGGGCTACAGCAGTTTGCACCAGCTGAGGATCTGGCCCTGTACATGGTGTGAATTTAGTGCTGGCGAAAGACACCAGATTAACAGCCCTGGAGGGGAGAGATTCCTCTGTAGGGCAAGTACAATCAGGGGAAGTAGCAGGGCCAGCTTTCCTCACAAACATATCTCAAAGAGCACTGGAAGGTACCAACTCCTGGGCCCAGAAGGCAGTTCAGTCTCCACAGCCCATTCAGTCCTTGTTTTCTCTGCTGAGATTGCCAACAAGGCGGCCTGTTGGTGCCAGTTATGCTAGTGTCTTGGGGTACGTCTACACTGGAAGCAAAGGTGTGACTGTCGCATTGGTAGGCATGCCCGTGTTAGCTTCAATCTAGCTGGCATAGGTAACAACAGCTATGTAGACACAGTGGCATGGGTTAGCAACCAGAGTACAAGTCCACTGGGGTACATACTCTGGTTGCTAACCTGTAGTCAAGCCCACGCCACCACGTCTACACTGCTATTGACACCCATGCTACCATCTCCCCTTCACTTTGCAGTGTAGACAGCAGCTTTGTGATGAAGACCCCACTTCTGCTCTTAACATTGGGAACTGGATTAAGATCCAGCCAACTCACTTTCAGGCAGCCCACAAGCTTTTGGTCACCGTCAGCTTGCTATTGTATCTATTTGCTGCTTTGATCTACCGCTCCTAAAGCCTCTCCCAGCCACAGCTGAGCTCGATAGATTTGAGCCAGTGACCTAGATGGCTCCAGGGCTGCAACAGGCCAAGCTAAGGATAGCTTTTCAGCTTTTGCTCTGGATTCATTGGCTCTAAGCCAAGATGTTCCATGCAATTTAAATGCATCTTTTGTTTGCAATTCAAAACTGGAGACAAACATCAGAGGCCAGGCTCCCAACGGAGGCCTCAGAGAGCCTTCCTCTGCCAGCCGGGAGCCTGTAGCAAGAAACCCCAGAGAGAGGCAAACCCCAGGCAGCAGCCACACAGAGCGTAAGATTGTCAAGTGTTGGCACCAGGAGATACAGACAAATCAGGAGCACGCAGCGGCTCCTGTGCTCCAATGACAGGCTGCACCGTGAAGACACCCCAGCAGTGATTTCAACCTATTACATTGTAATACATTCCCTTGGGGGCTGGCTGCTAACCTTTGCACACCAAAGACACGTGGATTCATGGCGCTGGCAGCTCGGTGTGGTGCGAATAAGGCTGGGCAAAGCAGTGCAGAGGGTCAAATGGGTCTGCTAGATGCTAGTGGGAAAATTTTTGGCACAACAGGTTTCCATCGGAAAATGCGGTTTTGTCAAAAATCAAAATGTTTGCCAGGATCAGCGTCCATTGCAACAATAATTTCGAGAGGACAAAGTCAAAACGAATCATTTCGACGTTTGTTGCAATAACGTAAAAACATTTTGTTTTGCCTTTATTGTTTTGATTCATTTTGGTTCGACGTGTATATTAAAAAGCCAATTTTAACATCATGCCACCTTTGTGCAATTGGGTATGGTCACGTTGTAACATGATTGAAAAGAAACATTGTTACCATACTGAAAATAACCAATTTGATGATGCCAGAATTTTCATCCACGAGAACGTTTCAAAATTTTTCGCTTTTTGCTCCAAAATTTGAAATAAAAAAACAAATTTGGAACGTCAGACTTTCCCAGGGAATGGAAATTCCATTTCCTGACCTGCTCCAGATGAAAGCACCAGGTCATTGGAGCAGCTCAGGCAAATCATGTGGCACAGGCCAAGCTGGGCTAGCTACCAGGGAACAAGGTCACGACATGGGTTTGGCCAGCTACCGGAGCATAGAAGCACTGCATGGGCTGGGCTAGCTGCTAGGTACCACACAGGCCAGACCAGCAAGGGGTCAGGGCAATGCACAGGCCAGCCTAGCACAAGAGACACTGAGGGATAATGCTTGCTAGTAGCTGGCACTCTTAGCACAGAGGCACTTAGAGGATTTGCCGATGGATTTCTGCAATTCTCCTAGCTAGCCATTAGCTGCCAGCCACGGACAGGAAGCATCACTGAATAAACTACTATCTTCACTTTCGGGTTAGGTAAAATGGTTAACACACTGGGGTTGCTTCTGATCTCATGGGGGCTTTTAAATCAGTCAGTCCTTCAGTGGAGTTACTCCTGATTTACCCCAGGGGCAGTGAGAGATTGGAATTAGGCCCCACGGATTTACCCCTAATCTATGCCAGCGTGAGAACAGATTCAGGTCCATGCGGCACCATTCCTAGTTGCTTTCCAGGGATTCTGCTTTCCTAATGTTGCAATCACCTGAGCCAGCTGCTTCTGTCAAAGGCCTGGAGTCCCTCTCAAAAAATCAATACCTGACAGCCTCGCCTTGAGGTGAGGGCATCAGGCCAGATTCTGCTCCCGCTCCAGCGTGAATCTGGAGTGTCCCCGTTGAACCACAGCAGTCAGCCAACCCCCCCAGTGGGAGTGGACTCTTCCCTAGAGTCTCCATTAGGTGGGACTTACATACCTGGCACTTTTGCATCTCACCTGATCGCTTTCTCTCCACCACCACCTCCTCCGCCGCCAGGGGGCAGGTGTCGCTCTGCGTGCTGTTGCGGGGCGAGTTGTCCTCGGACTTGCAGTATGTGGGGGAGTCCAGTGGGGCTGGACGGGGTATATGCTTTTTCTTCTTCTTTGGGAGCTTCTGCTTGGCCATAGCTAGTGAGTAGTACATGCCAAAGTTGTTGACGATGACAGGCACCGGCATGGCGATGGTGAGTACCCCGGCCAGGGCACACAGAGCCCCCACCAGCATGCCCGACCAGGTCTTGGGGTACATGTCACCATAGCCCAATGTTGTCATGGTGACCACCGCCCACCAGAACCCAATGGGGATGTTCTTAAAGTGAGTGTGGCCGCTGCCGCTGGGGTCAGATGGCTTGGCCCCAATCCGCTCGGCATAGTATATCATTGTAGCAAAGATCAAGACCCCCAAGGCCAGGAAGATGATGAGGAGCAAGAACTCATTGGTGCTGGCCCGGAGCGTGTGGCCTAGCACCCGGAGCCCCACAAAGTGCCGTGTCAGCTTGAAGATCCGGAGGATCCGGACGAAACGGACCACCCTCAGGAAGCCCAGCACGTCCCGGGCAGCCTTGGAGGACAGGCCACTGAGGCCTACCTCCAGGTAGAAGGGCAAGATAGCCACAAAGTCAATGATGTTGAGCAGGTTCTTGATGAAGAGCAGCTTATCTGGGCAGCAAATGATGCGCACCAGGAACTCCAGCGTGAACCACAGGACGCACACCCCCTCGATGTAGGTGAGTACGGGCTCTGTCTCCACCTTATTCGTCAGCAGAACCTTTGTGGTGTTGCCAACCACCATCGTCTCAGTCACGTTGACATTTCTATTAAAGGCCTCATGTGTCTCCAAGCAGAATGTCGTGATGGAGACCAGGATGAAGAAGAGCGAGGAGAAGGCAACTATCTGCAAGAGGAAATGAACTCAGTGGTTAGGGGAACAACCCGGGGCAGACAGGGAAGGGGAAGAAAGCAGCTTCAAAACAGACTTCCTTCCCCTTCTTATCTATCCCTACAAGGGGGAATAAGGAAAGATACACGCTGTGTCCAAATCTGAGGGGAGGGGTTCAACAACAGGACATTCCTGATGTCAATTGTATTTCATACACTCCCTCTGACACAAGCCCTGCTCTTATTTCCTTCAGTTCCCCATCAAAGCAGAGCCCAGAAGCTTGCCATGCCAGAGGTCACAGACAAGGAGAGGACACGGTCCCTCCAGTGACACCTGGGAGACTAGCACTGGGTACCCGTTGCCAGAACCCAGCATTGTCATGGTAACCACGGCCCTCCAGGACCCGGCGGGGATGTTCTTAAAGTGGTCACCTCAACTGGGTCAGAGGGCTCGGCCCTGCTCTACTCTTCATAACAGACCTTGGTGTCGAGGATCAAGACCACAAGGGCCAGGAAGATGATACAACTACAGAGCGTTTCAGTTCTAGCTCCCCTCTTCATATCAGATCGGGACTCTCCGGGTGGCTCTTAGGCCATTTCCCAGGGAACCGGTCAGTACGTCACAAAGCCACCACTGCCTGACCCTGCCGTTGAGGAGAGGTGATGGACTGGACAGGCCGGGGGAAGCTTGCCCTGCTGCTGGGGGTGGTGATGTATCTTATAGGACTTTGGCCTCGAGGGCTTTCAGAATGTCAGCCCGGCACCTTCCACCAGCACGACCAATAAAAAAGGAAGACCCTGATCCTACAGCTAGGCCTCTGCCATTGAGGTAGCCTGGGTATGTTTGTGCCTCGGCGTCTCTCTCAGTCCATTTGCTCTTCATCTGAGCCAGCAGCGCCTCATGAGAAATTAAAATTCACGATGGCACTATTCGATCATTAGTCTCCCCCCTAACTCGCAAAGGGCGACGGTGTGGTGTGATAACGACTCCTTCCCCGGGCACACGGTGACCTTGAGTTAAAGCTGGGAGACCCTGGGATCGTCCTTTACAGCCGGCTCCTCAGTTTGTATGAATGGCAGCAGCTTCATTCAAGTCAGAGTCGTCCCCCACCCCCCCCGCGCCCCCGACTGGAGCCAGAATTTCAAGAGCTCATGTTGCAGCAGCTCCCACTGAGAACAATGGTTGCTCCTCACACACACACACCCCCACACCCCTGCGCACTGTTGAGAACAATGGGAGGTGCTGAGTCCTGAAACTCATCTGAAAATCTGGCCACTTCATCCCAGTGTCTGAATGGGAGCAGAGGACATTTGAAATTCCAGCCCCACAGAGGTTGTGACCTCTATCACTATGCTCTCATTCAAATCCAGCCCTGGAACCACATCTCCATTGAAGCCTATGGGAGCATCCCAGGGATGCATTTGACCCCAAGCCCAAAGAGACTCAGGTATATAAGTCATCTGGGGGCTGTTTGATAGTCTAGGTGAGATCATTTTTGTGCTCCTACCAGTAATAACAACACCTAGTTCGTAAATAGCACATCAGTAGCTTGCAGAACACTCAACCAAGGAAGATCAGTATCATTATGCATATTTTAGAGATGGGGAAACTGAGGCACGGAGCTAGGCAGCAGCTTGCTCAAGGTCCCCCTGCAGCTCAGAGATAGAATGCAGGTCTCTTGAGCCCTAGGCCAGTGCATTATCCACTAGGTTGCACACACACAAAACGCTGCTCAGCAGGCAGATGTACACATCCAAATTGGGAGCCTCCGTTAAAAAGGGCAGTGCTGAATCATTATAGAAGGGCCAGCTCTTCCGCTGTTGGAAATCTGAACGGCTCCATTGAATCTGTGCAGCTCCCGCTAAAACCTTAAATCCTACTCCTCTCCCAGTGCTAGAATGGGCCCTGGATGAGCTCTGAGGATCATGTGCTGGGACACTTGCTGTCCCTGTCCTGTGGATGGACTGTGGACTCTGAGCTCCAGGACTGCCAGGCCAGATCCATTTACAAGAGCTACAATCCGGTGTGACCCCGGGGTGTGTCAAGCTGCGGCAGCTGCTGGAACGAGGAGATGGAGATTCTGAAATGGAACTCCCTCTAGTAACAGATTTGTTTAAGTGCCCATTATGAATTCACATGAAAGGCTGGTGTAACAGCACCAGTTAAAAGCGTTCAGTTGCTCTGCATGCAAATGCCACATCTCTTGCTGTAACTGATAGTGTTCCTATTCACAGCTCCAGAGTTAAGGATCTGTCTGGGTTTCCATTAGAATAGAGAAATTAATTTTGCTTGGGGAGGGGGAGGGGCTTGTAACTCGAGTGTAAGAATCTCCAATTTACAATTTACACCAGCTGAGCAGGCTCCCAGGCCCTTAGGTCCAGGCAGGATGCTGCTCTCCATTCATGTCTCCACCATGCCCCCGCCCCCCATTCTGAACAGGGAGGTGGGGAGGGGCGAGTAAGGGATGGAGCCTATATAACAGCTGCCAGAGCTGAGCTTGCACTGGGGGCGGGGTATTAATTTTCTGCTCCTATGGAACAGCTGCAAATTACAATTGTTCCAGAGCAATTCCGGCTCTGGGATGATTCTGGAGTCTTGGGGCAGTGCAGGCAACCCAAACCCATAGGACCACAGGAGGAAGCTGGCTTTCCCGTGCTCCTTAGACAGACCTTTAACCCTTCAGTTGCTGGTTTCAAATGCTTTGCTAAGCACCTCTACCAACAGTGACAGCAGTCAGGCTTCTCATTCATCTAGACCACAAGCAACTGCAAATGGGCCCGAAATAATAAGCTGGAAAGCAAATGCTCTGCGGAAGAAATGGGTTTTATTCCCCAATCAGCCTCCTTCCTGACAGGATGAGCTCATGATGAGTCCATTATCCAGAGCATCTGTTTCCAAAAGCACCTGAAAAGCCTCTGAGCAGAAAAGCCCCAGCCGAGGAAGCTTGCTGAATCTTCTCCAGTTCCTCTATTAACAGCACGTACAGGCTTTCAGCTTTGCATGGACCTGACCTGCACTGAAGTGACATGCAGCATCCTGTAGCATTTTATACAAGTCTGATTCTGCTCCCATTGGAGTTGTTAGCAAAACTCCCTGCCACTGGCTGCAACATGAGCAGGATTGGGCCAAGTGAAGTGCTCAGTCTCTTCTAGTCACGAGAACTGGACCAGTTTGTGTGTCAGACCTTCTCTTGACCACCTTGTTGCATCAGACCATGACACCGCAAGACAGTTAAAACTTACAGGCCAGATCCTCAACTGGAGTGAATCAGAATCAGCTTCCAGCTACCTCAGTTCACACCAGTGGAGGGGCTGGTCCTAAATGCCAAGACTCGAGCCAAGCTGTGGGAGGCTGAGAGGATCTGTATCCCAGAGCCCCATTCTGGGCTCCCCAAGGAAAACAGAGCAGTCAGAAATGAATGACATCATATCACACTGTGTTCAGTGCAGAGAACCACTAAAGGGAAAGATACTCTCCCGCAGCACACAGAAGGAGAAGAAGATGGAATGAATGAGACACAGGGAGAGAGACGGAGAAGGTGGCAGCCAAAGGACCTCATTCTGATCTTACCCTACCACCAGTGTAATTCGTCAGCTGGTGAAAACTGATGTAGCTCTGTTGAAGTCAATAGGCAATTAATAAGATCCAGCCCAGGATTATTGACTTCAAAAGGACTGACTCCAGATTTACACCACTGTCACTTAGATCCAAATCAAGCCCAAAAGACTACAGGAAAGACAGAACAAACCTGAGTTTGCTCTCTCTTGCACCAGGGTAAATCTGGAATAACTCTGCTTAAGACATTGGTGCTACATTGGTTTTAGACCCAACGTATGGGAGATCAGAATCAGGTCTGGCAAGTATAACTATCCTCTAAACACAGAAGGGTTGGATCCCCAGGCGATGTGAATTGGTGACGTTCTACTGAAGTCAGTGGAACTGCTCCAGTTTTATATCTGCTGAGGATCCGGCCCATAATCTTTACCTTGGCTCCGACCTTTGTCTAGTAGCAAGTCAAAGTGCTTTTTTCTTTTAAAGAGCTCCTTTTTGAGCCTGCTATTTAGAAGGCCCCAGCATGAGCAAAGGGAGATCACGTCATGGGAGAATTCCAGACCCCAAAATATTTCATTGTGATTTCAAGGTTTAAGGCTAGAGCGTCTTACATGGGCCTGTCGGAGCTAAGTGTCCAATTGCTGCTGACTCTCATGGTGCCAGACACACTCTCTGTCTGCAGAGAGCCAGAAACACTACCTCTGAGCGGCATGACCTGTCACGTTCACCTCATTGGGATGTTGAATCAGATTCCCAACAATGACCATTGAGGTGTCAACATTGTTAAACCACTTCACTGCTGACTGAGGCAAGGAAGACAGGAAGGGGAAGGAGCATATTAGAAAGCAGACATATTACATGTGAATGAATTCTGGTGCCACAAGTGGGTGGCATTTTGGGAGAGATTGTCACCACTCATTTCCCCCAATATTCAAGATGGCGCCAAGCCCAAGAAGCCTAGCAGAGCCCAGGAGGGCTTCTAAGTCCCACCAAGGGGGCCTCAACAGAACACATCAGAAGATATTTAGAACATCTGCATACATTACTGTGAGCAGCACCGTGGCATCTTAAAGTGGGCAGGGCTCATTTTGCAGATGGAGCTTGGAAGTGTACGAATACCTCCCCTCCGCCCACCCCAACTGACCCATCTAGAATACAAGACTAGAAAACACAGTGTCTCCTGTGCTGAAGCTATGCCCAGCTAAGAATCAAGCTCTCTCCACAGAAGGGGGTGGGGGGCAGAAAATAAAATAGAGACGGCTAAGGGGAGATATGATTGAGGGCTATAAAATCATGATTGGTGTAGAGAAAGTAGATAAGGACATGTTGTTTACTACTTCTCATAACACAAGAACTAGGGGGTCACCAAATGAAATTAATAGGCAGCAGGTTTAAAGCAAACAAAAAGAAGTATTTCTTCATACAATGCACAGTCAACCTGTGGAACTCCTTGCCAGAGGATG